CTGTTTGTTGTTGTTGAGCTCTGGATGTTGTTGTTGAGCTCTGGATGTTGTTGTTGAGATCTGGATGCTGTTGTTGAGCTCTGTATGCTGTTGTTAAGCTCTGTTTGTCGTTGTTAAGCTTTGTGTGTTGTTGTTGAGCTCTGGATGTTGTTGTTAAGCTCTGTGTGTTGTTGTTAAGCTCTGTCTGTTGTTGTTGAGCTCTGGATGTTGTTGTTGAGCTCTGGATGTTGTTGTTTAGCTCTGTATGCTGTTGTTAAGCTCTGTTTGTCGTTGTTAAGCTCTGTTTGTCGTTGTTAAGCTCTGTTTGTCGTTGTTAAGCTCTGTGTGTTGTTGTTAAGCTTTGTGTGTTTTTGTTGAGCTCTGGGCGTTGTTGTTGAGGATTATTTAGTATATTTTGTTTTCATTAATATTTGTTATTGTATTTAATTATTTTGGTTCAGATGTTCATTATTTTACACATCCTAAGTATCTGTAATATTATCTCGAACAAGGTATTAATAGTAATAATTTTATAGTAATTATTCACTCCCATTATCTAATTGTATTAATAAGTCATATGGTTCAAATTATCTCGTGGCCCTCCGAGAAATACACCATGGCCCTCCGAGAAATACATCATGGCCCTCCGAGAAATACATCATGGCCCTCCGAGAAATATAACCATGGCCTTCCGAGAAATACACCATGGCCTTCCGAGAAATACATCATGGCCTTCCGAGAAATACATCATGGCCTTCCAAGAAATACATCATGGCCTTCCGAGAAATACATCATGGCCTTCCGAGAAATACAGCATGGCCTTCCGAGAAATACATCATGGCCTTCCGAGAAATACACCATGGCCTTCCGAGAAATACACTATGGCCCTTCGAGATATACACCATGGCCCCCAGGTTGGGAACCATTGCGGTTAGAGTGTTTAATCATCAGGTGAAACAAGTTTGGTGATCCGTGAAATTAAACAACATAAGGAGGCGAAGATCCCAAATAAGGCTCAATTTCTATAATAGTGGGAAGACTTTAAGATATCTGAGAATTAGACAAAAATTGATACAATATTGCGCACGTTCATACCGTAAAATTTCACTCGTTGAATATTTTATGAGTGAGGATACGTTGATGTAGCTCCACTGGATAGAGGGAGGACAGAGTAATTGAGTCTTCGTGTGAATAAATTGAAATAATCAGTACTTATAACAGTTAAGTTATAGAGCCAGACAATTACCCTCTTAGTGGTTTTAAGAATATGGCAGATGTCTTGTGAAAATTAAATTCTATTAGACAAAAACTATGTTGCAGCACCTGGCAGGCTAAAGGCTCCAATATTAAGGAACAATGATTCTAACATTGTCACACTGTTTTACAAGTCAAATTTGGGGCAAAAATATGAAATTTCGGGAACATAAATGATCTTTTGGGATAGTAAATTCGTTAAATCATCTTACATCCAAAATTTAATCGTACACTCAACTAATAAAGTCCGTCCCCCACCCCTAAACTCAAAATCCCAAGATTCAGACTCATGAATCCGAAGCATTTATGGACAGAACAATGACCCGACTCTCCGGCAACTGTTAATACAATCGGGTGATGTATGGTGAGAGTGTGAGACGCACGTATTTGAAAACCTTGACACATTACTTAGTATTCATTTCAATAAGCCTTCATTACTTATATACTATTTACTGTCATATATGAGTTTACTTTCAGTAAGCAAGTTATATATAAATCTCCATCGAAATTGTTACTGCTAACTCGTGTCTCACCCATGCTACACGCAGACAATATACCTATATGTGACAATGTTATATGTCTATATGTATTTTTTTTTTCAGCAATGGTCCAGCTGGCGAATTTTACAAAAAATGTTCTGAAGCTAAACCCTAAGCGTAGAGAAGATGGTTGCTGCTGACCCGCTGACACTAGTCTAAACACAAGCACGCCCATACAGCACCTAAGAAATAACCCAAACTAGTTTTACCTGGTGAGAGTATGACGTACATCAGTCAACCTTTTGATATATTCTTATTAACATAAACAGTCAGCTCACATCTTGTTGACATAAACAGTTAGTTCACATCACTGCCTCTACAGTGTGTCATATTAAAAAAAATGTGAATAAAAAAAAAACAGATCTAAGTGGATACAGCGGTCATAAGCTTAAGGGTCGCTGGTTCGCCCCAGGGGCATCCCGAGGCTGTGAATGAGTAAGTAACTTTAGGGTACAGTTGGGAGAGTGGGGGGAGGCCGAGCATCCTTATGTGAAAAGTGGGTCCTATAGGCATGACTGCCCGTTAGGGACAGTGTATACAGCACACTGCATACTAAGCCGGTGCCACTATAGTGTGCGGTCTATCGTGATGTTTACACTATAGTATGCGCTCTACCGGGATATTTACACTATAAAGTGTGGTTATGTTACAAATAATTTCAACTAACCTAACCTAACCTAACCTCAGTTCAGGTATTAACCCATTAGCGCCCATGGTGAGTAGGATTATCCATAATCTTCTTGAATTAATACACGCAAGGACCTGGGCGGGCTCACTAACTCCGAAAAAAAAAAATAATAATAATAATGTGATTACCCTCCCGGCTACATTAGCCAGGAAGAAGTAATTGAACCACCTCCTGCCCCAATATACACATTTACACATAAAACATTAATAGGGGAATAAAGATGAGAGTGACCTACCAGCTCCACTAAGAACCTGGCAGGCCTCTCCATACAGTGTACCCTTAGACTAACACAACTAACACTTAACTAACACCTCAAAAAAAAAAATATATATATGTGACTACCCTCCCAGTTACACAAGGACCTGGGCGAGCTCACTAACTCCAACAATAATAAAAATAATAATAATAAGCAGCATTATATAAATAAACCAATATTAATACAAAGGTCTGACGACCCAAGGGAGCAGAACAAAGACAAAACACCAATAAGAAAGATGAAGCGGTCTGGTTGAGCCCAGATTCTTTCTACTCCTACTGTATTTCAGTTTCACCACTTTTTCCTCAACCCCTAATAATCTTCTTTCACCTCTTAACTAAAGACTTCGTACTCGTACTCGTACTGCACTCGACCGCATACACTCCCTCAAGTTGTAAACTGAGTGAACATAACAAATGACTGCGTAGTTCTTAACAATTAGTGGGAATTACAATGGTTAATAAAATTAAGTATAATATTTCCCCATAATGATGAGGCTAGTGGAGGAGGTCTGGCCTGTTGACGGTGTGACCTGACCTGACCTGACCTGACCTGACCTTAAGTTTCTGGCCTTCGACGGTAAAGGTCAAGAAGACCAGATATCTTGTTTATTGACTGCTGACCTCGTCTTCCTCCCACTTTCCTTTCTTCTTTCTTTCTCTTTCTTCTTTACTGCCAGAACATGACGACACTAAGCGTTAAGAAAGACTCTTTCAACTAAAAACGTGAGCAGCTTTTATTTTATTTTAGGGATTTTTTATGCATTTCTACTGTTATTATTATTATTATTATTATTATTATTATTATTATTATTATTATTATTATTATTATCAATATTATTATTATTATTATTATTATTATTATTATTATTATTATTATTATACTATGGTGCAGCAGGTGATGAAACACGACACAGCAGTTAACACCTTTACCCTGGACTGTTGTAGTCATGGCCGCCTCTCATCTTACTCCTGGACTGGCTATCACAGCGAATCAAACCTATTACATTAAGTCTTATTATCATACTACAACTATATCGACATTTTATACAGACAGGCATATAATTAACTCCTTAAAACGCTGATTGACGAACTCTGTGCCTCAAAAATTTACATAAAATTATCTTACACATATACAATTTACTACTGAGTATCAGGTGCATATATTATTAACGCCTAACTACGAATATAATATAAGCCAATGAAATACGTACAAGATTTACTATGCTGTTGTAGTTGAGGTAATTGACGAGGGTATATAGAATTAATAGCAATAACTATGTTTCTTCTAAGGTAAAGTGGAGAAGGTTCGGACACTCGGACAGTATCCCAATTTATGGCCACATTGGAGAAATGAGAAAAATGAAAGAAAGAAAGAAAGAAAGGTATTAAAAACGAAGGAAGGAAGAGATCATCCCACACATCCCAAATTCCCACCAAACCAAAAAGGGGGTGAGAGTAGAAGTTGAAACACAGAGGCAGTCATGACCTAATACATCAGAGGAATAACTGAAAGAACGGATGTGGTTCTATATAATGTGTGCTAGAGGCTCAGTTGATGACGTCTCTGTATTTATAGAGGTAAAAGTCAGCTGACTGTGGGTGCCTAAGCCAGACTATACCACCTTATCATGGAGACAATACGTAAAGTGGATCTGTAAGGATTGTTCTGCGTGTGATTCGTTCATGTCAAAAAACAAACAACTGCGTCGATCAAAGAAGACGTTTTTAACACCTTATGAACGTAAGCTGGGTACTGGGTATGACACTGGGTACTGGGTATGACACTGGGTACTGGGTATGACACTGGGTACTGGGTATGACACTGGGTACTGGGCATGGCACTGGGTACTGGGCATGACACTGGGAAATAGGCATGACAGTAGGGTACTGGGCATGACACTGGGTATGACACTGTGTATGACACTGGGTACTGGGCAGGACACTGAGTACTGGGCATGGCACTGTGTACTGGGTATGACACTGGGTACTGGGCATGGCACTGGGTACTGGGCATGACACTGGGTACTGGGTGTGACACTGGGTACTGGTATCACACTGAGTACTGGGTATGACACTGGGATGGGCATCACACTGAGTACTGGGTATGACACTGGGTACTGGGTATGGCACTGGGTACTGGGCATGATACTTTACTGGGTACTGGGCATGGCATTGGGTACTGCATGACACTGGGTACTGAGCATGACTCCGGTATAACACTGGGTACTGGGTATGACACTGGGTACTGGGCATGACACTGGGTACTGGGTAGACACTTTTACTGGGTACTGGCATGGCACTGGGTACTGGGCAGACACTGGGTATAACACTGGGTACTGGGTATGACACCTGGTACTGGGTATGACACTGTGTATGACACTGGTACTGGTAGACACTGGGTCCTGAGCATGGCACTGGGTAATGGGTATGACACTGGTACTGGGCATGGAACTGGGTACTGGGCATGACACTGGGTACTGGTATAACACTGGGTAATGGGTATGACACTGGTACTGGGCATGGTACTGGGCATGACACTGGGTACTGGGTATGACAATGGGAACTGGTATGGCACTGGGTACTGGGTGGTGACACTGGGTACTGGGTATGACACTGGGTACTGTATGACACTGGGTACTGGGCATGGTACTGGGTACTGGGCATGACACTGGGTACTGGGTATGACACTGGAACTGGGTATGGCATCAGTAATGACACTGGGTACTGTAGACACTGGGTACTGGTATGACATTGGGTACTGGGCATGGCACTGGTAGGACACTGGGGCATTGGGTATGACATTGGGTACTGGGCATGGCACTGGGTACTGGTATGACACTGCACCTGGTATGACACTGGGTATGACACTGGGTACTGGGTATGACACTGAGTACTGGGTATGACACTGGGTACTGGGCAACGGGTACTGGGTATGACACTACTGGGTACTGGGCATGGCATTGGGTACTGGGTATGACACTGGGTACTGAGCATGACACTGGGTATAACACTGGATACTGGGTATGACACTGGGTACTGGGCATGACATTGGGTACTGGGTAGACACTACTGGGTACTGGGCATGGCACTGGGTACTGGGCATGACACTGTACTGGCATGACACTGGGAATAACACTGGGTACTGGTATGACACTGGTACTGGAACTGTGTACACTGGGTACTGGCATGGCATAGGTATTGGAGGACACTGGGTACTGCATGGTGCTGGGTACTGGGCATGACACTGGGTACTGGAATGACACAGGTAATAGGTGGGACACTGGGTGCTGGTGGACACTGGGTACAGGGTTGATACTGGTACTGGGTAAGGACACAGACTGTGGTATGACACTGGGTACTGGGCATGGTACTGGAATGGGCAAGACACTGGGTACTGGGTATGACACTGGGTACTGGGTAGGACACTGTACTGGGTATGACACTGGGTACTGGGTGTGACACTGGGTACTGCATGGTACTGGGAACTGGGCATGACACTGGTAATGGGTGACACTGGGTGCTGGGTTTGACACTGGGTACAGGGTATGATACTGGGACTGGATGACACTGGGGACTGTGTTGACACTGGGTAATGGGCATGGTACTCGGTACTGGGCAAGACACTGGGACTGAGCATGACACTGGGTATAACACTGGGTACTGGGTAGACACTGGGTACTGGTTATGAAACTGTATGACATGGTACTGAGCATGGCACAGGGTAATGGGTATGACATTGGTACTGGGCATGGTACTGGGTACTGCAGGACACTGGGTACCGGGCATGACATCGGTATAACACTGGGTACTGGGTATGACACTGGGTACTGGTTGTGAAACGTGTATGACACTGGGTACTGAGCATGGCAGTCAGGATGGTACGACACTGGGTACTGGGCATGGTACTTGCACGGCATGACATCGGGTACTGGGAATGACACAGGGACGGGGTATGACACTGGGTGCCGGGTTGACACTGGGTATAACATCAGAACTGGGTACGACCGGGTACTCATGACACTGGACTGGCATGACACTGGGTATAACACTGGGTACTAGGTGCTGACACTGGGTACTGGTTATGAAAATGTGTATGACACTGGGTACTGGGTAGTACAGGGTACTGGGTATGACACTGGTGTACTGGGATTGACATGGGTACTGGGCATGGTACCGGCATGACACTGGGTACTGGGAAAGACACTGGGAACTGAGTATGGCACTGGGTACTGGGCATGACACTGGGTACTGGGCATGACACTGGGTACTGGGTAGACACAAGGTACTGTATATGACATTGGGTACTGGGTATGACACTGGGACTGGGTATGGCACTGGGTACTGGGCATGTCACAGGGTACTGGGTAGACACTGGGTACTGGTGTGACACTGGGTACTGGGCATGGCACTGATACTGTAGACATCATACTGGGTATGACATTGGTACTGGCATGGCACTGGGTACTGGTGACACTGGGTACTGGGTATGGCATTGGTACTGGGCATGGCACTGGGCACTGGGTATGACAGTACCTGGTGACACTGGGCGATACTGGGTACGATGACACTGTGTATGACACTAGGTACTGTAGACATGGGTACTGGGCATGGCAGTGTGTAGAGGGTATGACACTGGGATGAGTAGACACTGAGTGCTGGGTATGGACACTGGGTACTGGGAGGAAACTGGGTACAGGGCATGACAATGGGTACTGGAAGACTTTTACTGGGTACTGGGCATGGCACTGGGGACTGTGTATGACACTGGGTACTTGGCATGGTACTGGGTACTGGGCAAGACACTGGGTACTGGGTATGACACTGGGTACTGGAGACACTGGGTACTGGGTATGACACTGGTACTGTGATGACACTGGGTACTGAGTACTGGAACTGGCATGACACTGGGTACTGGGTATGACAGATCAGGTATGGCACTGGCATTGGCATGACACTGGGTACTGGGTGACACTGGGTACTGGGTAGACACTAGGTACTCTGTAGACATTGCGTACTGGGTATGGCACTGCACTGGGCATGTCACTGGGTACGGGTAGAGACCGTACTGGGTATGACATGGGTACTGGGTATAGCACTGGGTACTTGCAGGACACTGGGTACTGGTATGGCACTGTGTATGACACTGGGTACTGGAGGACACTGGGTACTGGGCATGATCGGCACTGGGTATGACACTAAGTACGGCATGAAACTGGGTACTGGGCATGGCACTGGGTACTGGGTATGATACTGGGTACTGGGTTTGATATTGGGTACTGGGCATGACACATTGTACTGTATGACACTTACTGGGTATGACAATGGGAACTGGGTATGACACTTAGAACTGGGATACACTGGGCACTGGGTATGACACTGGGTACTGGGCATGACACTGGGTACTGCAGGACACTTTACTGGGTACTGGGCATGGCACTGGGTACTGGGCTTGACACTGGTGCTGACTCTGACACTGGGTACTGGTATGACACTGGGTACTGGGTATGACACTGTGTATGACACTGGGTACTGGGTATACACTGGGTACTGAGCATGGCACTGGGTAATGGGTATGACACTGGGTATTGGGCATGGCTCTGGATAATGTGCATGACACTGGGTACTGGGTATGACACTGGGTACTGGGTATGACACTGTGTATGACACTTGGTACTGGAGGACACTGGGTACTGAGCATGGCGCTGGGTAATGGGTGCACTGGGTACTGGGCATGGCTCTGGGTACTGGGCGACACTGGGTACTGGATGACACTGGGTAATGGGTATTACACTGGGTGCTGGGTTTGACACTGGGTACAGGGTATGACACTTGGTACTGGGTATGACACTGGGATCTGTATGATACTGGGAACTGGTAGGACTGCTGTACTGTATGACACTGGGTACTGGGTATGACACTGGCAATTGTCGTGGTACTGTACTGCATGACACTGGGTAATGGGTATGACACTGGGTACTGGCATGACACTGAGTGCTGGGTATACTGGGTACTGGGTATGACACTTGGTACAGGGCATGATAATGGGTACTGTAGGATATTTTTACTGGGTACTGGGCATAGCACTGGTACTGGGCATGACACTGGGTACTGGGCATGACACTGGGTATAACACTGGGTACTGGGTATGACACTGGGTACTGGTTATGAAACTGTGTATGACACTGGGTACTGAGCATGGCACAGGGTATGGGTGACACTGGGTACTGGGCATGGCACTGGGTACTGGGCAGGACACTGGGTACTGGGAATACTGGATGTGGGTATGAGAGACTGGGTGCTGGGTTTGACACTGGGTACAGGGTATGATACTGGGTACTGGGTATGACACTGGGTACTGTGTATGACACTGGGTACTGGGCATGGTACTGGGTATGGACAAGACACTGGGTACTGGGTATGACACTGGGTACTGGGTAGGACACTGGGTGCCGGTATGACACGGGTACTGGGTATGACACTGGATTGGGCATGGTGCGTACTGGGCATGACACTGGGTACTGGGTATGACACTGGGAACTGGGTGGCACTGGGTACTGGGCATGACACTGGGTACTGGGAAGGACACTGGGTACTGGGTAGGACGCTAGGTACTCTGTGACATTGGGTACTGGGTATGGCACTGGGCACTGGGCATCACTGGGTACTGGTAGGACACTGGGTACTGGGTATGACACTGGGTACTGGGTATAGCACTGGGTACTGGGTAGGACATTGGGTACTGGGCATGGCACTGGGTACATGGCATGACACTGGGTATACTGGGTACTGGGTATGGCACTGTGTATGACAGTGGGTACTGTGTAAGACATCTGGGTACTGGGCATGACACTGGGTACTGGGTATGACCTAAGATACTGGGCATGACACTGGGTACTGGGCATGGCACTGGGTACTGGGTATGATACTGGGTACTGGGTATGATATTGGGTACTAGGCATGAACTGTATAGGTGGACACTGATGTGATGACACTGGGTACTGGGCTTGACACAGGGTATAACACTGGGTACTGGTATGACACTGTGTATGACACTGGGTACTGAGCATGGCGCTGGGTGTGGTATGACACTGGGTACTGGGCATTGCTCTGGGTACTGGGCATGACACTGGGTACTAGGTATGACACTGGGTAATGGGTATTACACTGGGTGCTGGGTTTGACACTGGGTACAGGGTATGATACTGGGTACTGGGTATGACACTGGGTACTGTGTATGATACTGGGTACTGCGTGGGACACTGGGTACTGTGTATGACACTGGGTACTGGGTGCTGACACTGGGTACTGGGTACTGGGCATGACACTGGGTACTGGGTATGACACTGGGAACTGGGTATGGCACTGGGTACTGGGCATGACACTGGGTACTGGGTAGGACACTAGGTACTGTGTGACATTGGGTACTGGAATGACACTGGGTACTGGGTATGGCACTGGTACTGGGCATGTCTGGGTACTGGGTAGGACACTGGGTGCTGGGTTGTGACACTGGGTACTGGGCATGGCACTGGGTGCTAGATGGGACACTGGTCTGGGTATGACATTGGGTACTTGGCATGGCACTGCGTACTGGGTGGGACACTGTGTACTGGGTATGACATTGGGTACTGGGCATGGCACTAGGTACTGGGTATGACACTGGGTACCTGGCATGACACTGGGTATGATCTGGGTACTGTGTGACACTGGGTACTGGGTGGGACACTGGGTACTGGGCATGGCACTGGTACTGGGAATGACACTGGGTACCGGGTATGACAATGGTACTGGGCATGATACTGGGTACTGGGTATGATACTGGGTACTGGGTTTGATATGGATACTGGGCATGACACTTTGTACTGGATATGATACTGGGTTCTGGTTATGACACTGGGTACTGGGCATGACACTGGGTATTGGCTGCAGCATTGCGTACTGGGTATGACTGGGTACTGGGTATGACACTGGTACTGGGTCGGACACTGGGTACTGGGCATGACACTGGGTACTGGGTATGATACTGGGTACTGGGTATGACACTGGGTACTGTGTGTGACACTGGGTACAGTGTGACACTGGGTACTGGGTATGACACTGGGTGGCAGGTAATTGGTATGACACTGGGTACTCTCCATGACACTGGGTACAGGGTATGATACTGGGTAATGTGTATGACACTGGGTACTGGGTACAGGTATGATACTGGGAACTGGGTATGACACTTCGTACTGGGTAGGGCACTGGATACTGGGTATAATACTCGGTACTGGGCACGACACTGGGTACTGGGTATGACACTGGGTACTGGGCATGACAATGGGTACTGGGAACTGGGCATGACACTGGGTAATGGTTAGAAAACTGGACACTGCGTATGATACTGGGTACTGGGCATGAAAATGGTACTGGGTATGACACTGGGTACTGGGTATGATTCTGGGTACTGGGTATGACCTGGGTTTTGGGCATGGCACTGGGTACTGGGTTCTGTGTATGATCACTGGGTACTGGGTATGACACTGGGTACTGGGTAGGACACTGGATACTGGGTACTGGTCATGACACTGGGTACTGGGCATGCCACTGGGTAATGGGCGTTGGGCATGACACTTGGTACTGGGTAGGACACTGGATACTGGGTTCTGGGTATAATACTGGGTGCTGGGCATGACACTGGATACTGGATTGGACAATGGATACTGGGTACTGGGCATGACACTGGGTACTGGGTATGCCACTGGGTACTGGGCATGACCCTGGTGTGGGTATGACACTGTACTGGGTACTGGGTTTGACTGGATACTGGGTATGACACTGGGTGCTGGGCATGACACTGGGTACTGGGTATGAGACTGGGTACTGGGTATGACACTGGGTACTGGGTATGACACTGTGTACTGGGTATGACACTGGGTACTGGGTAGTGACATGTGTATGACACTGGGTGCTGGGTAGGACACTGGGTACTGAGCATGGCACTGGGTAATGGGTATGACACTGGGTGTGGGCATGGCTCTGGGTACTGGGCATGACACTGGGTACTGGGTATTACACTGGGTAATGGGTATGACACTGGGTACTGGGCATGACACTGGGTACTGGGTAGGACACTTTTACTGGGTACTGGGCAAGGCACTGGGTACTGGGCATGACACTGGGTACTGGGCTTGACACTGGGTATAACACTGGTGCAGGTATGACACTGGGTACTGGGTATGACACTGTGTATGACATTGGGTACTGGGTAGGACACTGGGTACTGGGCATGGCTGGGTAATGGGTATGGCACTGGGTACTGGGCATGGCTCTGGGTACTGGGCATGACATTGGGTACTGGGTATGATACTGGGTACTGGGTATGACACTGGGTACTGTGTATGACACTGGGTACAGTGTATGACTGCTGGTACTGGGTATGGACACTGGGTAGCAGGTAATGGGTATGACACTGGGTAATCTCTATGAAACTGGGTACTGGGTATGATACTGGGTAGTGGGTAATGTGTATGACACTGGGTACTGGGTACTGGGTATGATACTGGGAAGTGGGTATGACACTTCGTACTGGGTAGGAGCACTGGATACTGGGTATAATACGGTACTGGGCACGACATTCGGTACTGGGTATGACACTGGGTACTGGGCATGACAATGGGTACTGGGCATGACACTGGGTACTGGGTATGACACTGGGTACTGGGTATGATTCTGGGTACTGGGTATGACACTGGGTACTGGGCATGACACTGGGTATTGGGCATGTCACTGGGTACTGGGTTCTGGGTATGATACTGGGTACTGGGTATGACACACTGTAATGGGTATGACACTGGGTACTGGGTATGAGACTGGATTGTGGTATGACACTGGGTACTGGGTATGACACTGTGTACTGGGTGATGCACTGGGTAATGGTATGACACTGTGTGTGACACTGGGTACTGGGTAGGACACTGGTGCTGGCATGGCGCTCGGTAATGGGTATGACACTGGGTACTGGGCATGACACTGGTACTGGGACACATTTACTGGGTTACTGGGCATGGCACTGGGTACTGGGCATGACACTGGTACTGGGATTGACACTGAGTATAACACTTTTGGGTATGACACTGGGTACTGGGTATGACACTGTGTATGACACTGGGTACTGGGTAGGACAGTGGGTACTGAGCATGGCACTGGGTACTGGGTATGACACTGGGTACAGGTATGACAATGGGTACTGGGCATGACACTGGGTACTGGGTATGATACTGGGTACTGGGTTTGATATGGGTACTGGGCATGACACTTTATGGGTATGTCTGGGTTCTGGTTATGACACTGGGTACTGGGTATGACACTGGGAACTGGGTATGACACTGGGTACTGGGTCGGACAATGGGTACTGGGCATGACACTTGGTACTGTGTATGACCTGGGTACTGTGATATGACACTGGGTACTGGGTATGACACTGGGTAGCGGGTGATGGGCATGGCACTGGGTGGGCATGACACTGGGTACTGGGCTTGACACTGTTATAACACTGGTACTGGGTATGATACTGGGAACTGGGTATGACACTTCGTACTGGGTAGGGCACTGGATACTGGGTATATCTCGGTCCTGGGCACGAATCTTGGTACTGGGTATGACACTGGGTAGTGGGCATGACAATGGGTACTGGGCATGACACTCGGTAATGGGTAGGAAACTGGATACTGCGTATGATACTGGGTGCACTGGGCATGAAAATGGGTACTGGGTATGACACTGGGTACTGGGTATGACGCGGGTACTGGGTATGATTCTGGGTACTGGGTATGACTGGGTATTGGGCATGGCACTGGGTTCTGGGTATGATACTGTTGGTACTGGGTATGACACTGGGTATTGGTTATAATCATGGTGGGTTGTTATAATCATGGTCGTGGTTGTTATAATCATGGTCGTGGTTGTTATAATCATGGTCGTGGTTGTTATAATCATAGTCGTGGTTGTTATAATCATAGTCGTGGTTATTTATATCATAGTCGTCGTTGTTATAATCATGGTCGTGGTTGTTATAATCATGGTCGTGGTTGTTATAATCATGGTCGTGGTTGTTATTAATCATGGTCGTGGTTGTTATAATCATGGTCGTGGTTGTTATAATCATGGTCGTGGTTGTTATAATCATAGTCGTGGCTATGACCATAGTCGTGGTTGTTATAATCATAGTCGTGGTTGTTATAATCATGGTCGTGGTTGTTATAATCTGGTCGTGGTTGTTATAATCATGGTCGTGGTTGTTATAATCATGGTCGTGGTTGTTATAATCATAGTCGTGGTTGTTACAATCATGGTCGTAGTGTTATAATCATGTCGTTTGTTATAATCATATTCGTGGTTATTATAATCATGGTCGTGGTTGTTATAATCATAGTCGTGGTTGTTATAATCATAGTCGTGGTTGTTAAATCATGGTCGTGGGTGTTATAATCATGGTCGTGGTTGTTATAATCATGGTCGTGGTTGTTATAATCATGGTCGTGGTTGTTATAATCATAGTCGTGGTTGTTATAATCATGGTCGTAGTTGTTATAATCATGGTCGTGGTAGTTATAATCATGGTCGTGGTTGTTATAATCATGGTCGTGGTTGTTATAATCATGGTCGTGGTTGTTATAATCATAGTCGTGGTTGTTATAATCATGGTCGTGATTGTTATAATCATGGTCGTGCTTGTTATAATCATAGTCGTGGTTGTTATAATCATGGTCGTGGTTGTTTATAATCATAGTCGTGGTTGTTATAATCATAGTCGTGGTTGTTATAATCATGGTCGTGTTTGTTATAATCATGGTCGTGCTTGTTATAATCATAGTCGTGGTTGTTATAATCTGGTCGTGGTTGTTATAATCATGGTCGTGGTTATAATCATGGTCGTGGTTGTTATAATCATAGTCTTGGTTGTTATAATCATGGTCGTGGTTGTTATAATCGTCGTGGTTGTTATAATCATGGTCGTGGTTTATAATCATGGTGTCGTTTGTTATAATCATAGTCGGTTTGTTATAATCATGGTCGTGGTTGTTATAATCATAGTCGTGAGATGATCAATTTGTTGTTATAATCATGGTCGTGGTTGTTATAATCATAGTCGTGGTTGTTATAATCATGAGTGTGGTTTGTTATAATCATGGTCGTGGTTGTTATAATCATAGTCGTGGTGTTATAATCATGGTCGTGGTTGTTATAATCATAGTCGTGGTTGTTATAATCATGGTCGTCAGTGTTATAATCATATATGTCGTGGTTGTTATAATCATGGTCGTGGTTGTTATAATCATGGTCGTGGTTGTTATAATCATAGTCGTGGTTGTTTACAATCATGGTCGTGAGTGTTATAATCATGGTCGTGGTTATTATGATCATAGTCGTGGTTATTATAATCATGGTCGTGGCTGTTATAATCATAGTCGTGGTTTTATAATCATAGTCGTGGTTGTTATATTCATGGTCGTGCTTGTTATATTCATGGTCGTTACTTTTATAATCATAGTCGTGGTTGTTATAATCATGGTCGTGGTTGTTATAATCATGGTCGTGCTTGTTATAATCATGATCGTGGTTGTTATAATCATTCGTGTTTATTATAATCATGGTCGTGGTTGTTATAATCATAGTCGTGGTTGTTATAATCATAGTCGTTGCGTTATATTCATGGTCGTGCTTGTTATAATCATAGTCGTGGTTGTTATAATCATGGTCGTGGTTGTTATAATCATGGTCGTGCTTTATAATCATGATCGTGGTTGTTATAATCAAGTCGTGGTTTATAATCATAGTCGTGATTGTTATGATCATAGTCGTGGTTGTTGTATTCATGCGTGAATGTTGTATTCATGGTCGTGCTTGTTATAATCATAGTCGTGGTTATTTATGTCATGGTTGTTATTATAATCGATCGTGGTTATTGATCATGGTCGTGGTTTTATAATCATATTCTTGGTTGTTACAATCATGGTCGTGGTTGTTATAATCATAGTCGTGGGTGTTATAATCATGGTCGTGGTTGGTTTATTCATGGTCGTGGTTTATATTCATGGTCGTGGATGTTATAATTATAGTCGTGGTTGTTATAATCATGGTCGTGGTTGTTATTATCATAGTCGTGGTTGTTATAATCATGGTCGTGGTTGTTATAATCATAGTCGTGGTTGTTATAATCATGGTCGTGGTTGTTATAATCATGGTCGTTAGATTAGTTACCATCTGCTTAAGTCATCACCTGTGTTAAGTCATCATAGACATCATCTACGTTCGTCAGTTTTAGGCCCATCTCCTACCTGACCGACCATCGATGTTCTTTCCGCACGTGGGTGTTAGTTTTCAATGTGTCTTATTATTTACGCTGGTGGATGTAAGACCTCCTACCCTCACTGACGCAGCTATGGTCAATTTGGTGTTATTCTTGTTTATAAATGCCTTCTAATCTGTCTCAAGTCTATCCGTCCTGTCAATTGCCATCCCAACTGTGTTCGTCTGCGTGGTGTTTTGAATGTAAGCCATTCTGTACTCTTTGTGTAGTCAAATCTGTCTGTCTTATCCGTTGTTGGCGTGTGTCTGCCTGTTTGTCTTGTGAACCAGTCAGCCAGCTGTCTGTCTGTCATGTTAGTAGCCATATTGTCTATTTGTGCATGTATGAATCTGTCTATTTTTGTCAACCTCCTGTCTGTTTCACTGTCTATATTCACCCTGGAGTCTATTGTAGTCATCTTCTCCATGCATTCCTGTTATCTTTTTATCTCTTCTCTTTCTTCACATACAGTCACCCACAGGAATAAGTATACACAGCTGTAAAGTCGTCTGGTAACATTGATACTGGCATTCAGAAGCATGAGAAACTCAGTTCCCCCACCTGTTATCTCTAACTAATTTCTGTTTCCCCTTCTTTATTCTTCCTATTTACTCATCTTCCTTCCTTTACTAATCCAAACAACATTAAAAAATAGGCTAAAAAAAAGTGGAAGGAGGAACCTTATGATAACTGCAGTTTGGGCAGTAGCTACAGCGAATGAGGGTGCGCCAAGTCCGTAGACTTGCATCGTTTTCGAGCGTAAATAAAATGGTTATGTAATGGCTTCCTAAAGAAACCATTGATATGGGACCAGGTTTCTTCTACTCTACGAATTTTTGCGATTTTTCCACCAAGTTTGATGAAAAACAATTGTGCGTTTCGGCTGCACAGAACAGACACACACCCGCACAAACAGACACACGCCTAGTCCTAAAGTACATTAGATTAAATATCGTACCACTTCCCCTGCAGGTGTCTGTGTCTGTTCTCTTACTTCAGCTGAAACAAAACACAGCCAACTATCAATTTTCTCTTAGCAGTCCACTTGCTCAATTTATCTTGGGTCTTCCTGTGATCTTCGTATTGTTTATATTTTTTCGGGGGAGGGACTCTACCGACTCATGGAAAGAAAACTGTAACATCTGCATTTGGCAACATCTTCAGTGTTCATTTGTCTCTTATGGTGTCTTATTTAAACCCATCTCTTCCTCGTCGCTTCACAGTCCACTCCTCAAGCGTCATCAGCATTAAGACTTGACCACGGTGGGGATACAGCAAGTCCCCCTGCCAGGACCCGACTAAAATGTAAAACCAATCAGTCCTACACCAGACACATTCTTCACTTCTCCTTGACACTTGGGATAGCTTCTCTCCTCATACTAACGTGCTGAGAGTCTGTGAGCTGGGTTAATGAGGAACAGCTACAGAGGACGAAGGCCATCAGTTATGTTGTGACTTTGGCGTAACAGTACCTGAACTGAATCCCCAATACATGTACAGTATGTCAGGTGTTTTGGTAACAAGTAACTTCAGTTGGCACCTGAGGAACCTGGGTGTTATGGACTGTAGAGGATGGGTGCAAACTGTGAGCGTAGAGTATGGCTGAAGGGAGTGCAAAATGCCGTTTGAAAAATTACAATAGAGGAATAGTAAGGACGGAGCTATGGTACCAGTTGATCTACCATACACACGAAGACCTAGGTCTAGGTGATGCATCACAGCTCGGCATCAAACTCTTCTTAGCTTCTACATATTTTTCTTCTAGCAATAACAATATAAGTTTCTGTTTGGATATGTTAACTGCCATCCTTCTTTCCCATGTGTCTTGACTGTTGGGTGACCGTACATGTTCAAGTGCATGTGGAGTGGTGTATTATTATTGACCTGGTGACTTTTTAATTTGGCAATTTCTTAAATAAATTCAAGATTGTTCCCTACACTCCTCTCCTCCCGTCTACCTTACACCTACCTATATAATAATAATAATAATTATGATGATGACAATAATAATCATAGTTACAAAGACATTCGTGAGTGTATTGATAATAAATGTGAACAATGCAAACAAAATACATTAAATACAAAATAAAAGCAATAATAAAAACAAAACAAAATTATTTCCTCTCAACGTGAAGAAAAATACTGTAAAAGCTGTTAGAAGAACAGTTTGAACATTTGTAAATAGAAGAGGACTGGACATAACATGATAGGAGATTGAGCAGTAACAATTTGTGGACAAAAGTCACAATGACTCAATGATGCCTGATACTCAGTCTGTTCAATACCAGTGGGTTATACTAGTAACTCCTCCAACACAGTCACTGGGATAGTTTAGAATCACGCGTCCCCATGTTTATGGCGTGACTGTGGTCGGATGGGAGCTAGTGGTGGGAGTGAGAAAGCCTGAGCATACCGGTAAGTCTTTCCTGGGTACGTAGCCTGTGTGACACACCACCGCCAGGAGATGTGTGTGGTGTACAGGAACATTACGTAAACTATTACTACTAAATTCATAATTTCCCT